GCAATGTAAAGATAAAAAAGTAGTCTTACGTGAAAGTTCGGTCGAAATCGGTCCATTTCAGAGATTACCCGAAATAAACGCAGCTTGCGGACAGACAGACAAAAAATTTTTAATGCGATTATTGTTGTCAGCTGCGCAAATACATCATCTTCCCGAAATTTGGAATTTTTCTTTTGATATTGCAAAGAGACACTCCAATTTTATTATATGTATGGAGTATATTTATGCTCTTTGAATAAATATGAGATTAACCATAGCGTAAGCATTGTTTAATTTATGATGTCTTGGGTTATAGGAAAAATAACATGTATGTAGCATATAGAGTTCTTTCCTACAGAGATTTTTAGCTATTACCTGTGATTACACATTGGTCCAAAATTGTCTATTTTTATTTAATTTCTAAAGAATTTCTTTCTTAATAGCCTGATATTTATCGAAAAAGAAAAACTTAAATTTGTTCCCAATGACAGTTGCATGAACTTTGGGCCTTATATGACCTGAGAATGAAATCTGATATCTTAAAATATGTTTTAATACGATACGATGCCAAGTTTAAATTGCAAAATAATAACTACGTAAATTTATTATAATGGCACAATTTACGTGATGTGTCTGTTGATAATGACCTATATTTTAATGTAATGGACGCGTTTGCCTTGTTTTTAATTTATGATGTCATTCCGTGTTTACGCGACAAATTGATAGTTGTTTTTTAATAACGCGTCTTGTATATTAACTATTACAATAATAAATAGTTAAATTAATAGTATGTTAAATGAGACTTCAATTAAAAATGACTAAATTCATTATCAACTTGCCCTTATCCCTACGGAGGGTCTGCACAGTACGTGCTGCTCTTCCATACATTTCTATTACCTCATTATCTGAATTTAATCCCTTCTTAAGCTTATCCTCTTTCACACAATCCATCCATATCGGTTTTCCTCTACCTTCGTAGCCTATATATAAATAGCTAAATTATCGTTTAATATTTATTGATGTCTAATACTAGGTAGTACATAAAAGTTTTCCTTACGATACGTAATAAAATTAAAAAATCTGTCAAAGAAAGACCATGGTAACATAAGTGGTGCGTGCAGTAGTGTAGAATTATCAAATTACTTAACAAAATAAATTGATAATTACATTAATAAGCCAAAGCCTTTGTTTTGAAGGTTATGATAACAATTTTAATTTGTTCAAACCGTTACCAATATAAGAAGCATGAACATAACAATGGCCTATGGATTTGTTAAGTTACACGAATTAAAAGTAAAAATATCTAAATACAAACTCAAACAAAACGTAAAGATTGTGTGTTTTTTTTTTAAAAGAATTTTCTTTTTAATAGACATACTTTATAATACACTTACATCATATTTCATACTAATATTGTAAATGCGAAAGTTTGGATATATGGATGGATGTTTGTTAGACTTTGTAGCCTAAACGGCTGAATGGATTTTAATGAAATTTGGTATAGATGTAGAGGATAGTCTGTAACACACAGGGTACTCACTTTTGTATTTTTTTAATTCCACGTGGACGGAGTCGCGGGCGAAAGCTTGTTTTTTAAATTCATAAGATACGTTGCAATATCATCTTACAGTAGTAAACAAAGTATTTTACGTATGTATCAAGTACTTGTCACCCAGTAATCTATTGGGCAACAATGTACGCGTGAGTGGGTGCGATGAATTTACATTACAAGTTCTGAATAATGCTGGCTCTTTGTTATTTGACACATTGTCAAGGCACTGAGCCAAGGAGACACACCAATTACATCGCTTCCTCGGCGCTTAAGCACGCCTTACTTAATCGCAAACATCAACAAAAGCTGTACACCTTATTACCGAGGAATAAGGTCTTATATGTATGTTTTGTACTTATGAATTGATAATATGATATTGTGATATTAATGGAATGTTGCAGCAAAAACATATTGGTATTAGCATGCGATATAACTTTAGTTTTAATCGTACTAATATTATAAATGCGAAAGTTTATATGGATGGATGTTTTTGTTAGAGTTTGTAGCCTAAACTACTGAACTGATCTCGACAAAATTTGACACAGATGTAGAGGATAGTCTGGAAGAACACATAGGCTACTAACTTTTTTTCAATTCCATTTCGACGAAGTCGCAGGCAAAAGCAACTAGTGAATGTATTGTAATTCGATATGTCTTGTTATAGAGTTTTACAATATTATATTCGCGTAACTATAGGGCTAGATTTCGTCCGCAACTCCATCCTCGTGTAATTGTGTTCCAGACTTTGCTCTAACATCCCTTTATCCATCTATCTAGATTTTACGCATTTATAATATTAGTAAGAAAAATATTGGAAAAATGTTCTTTAAATATTGCTCCTCCTTTAAATTAAGAGTTTAGAAGCATTTTTATTGATTTATTAAAAGATTTGATTTACATTTAACTTTGTAACAAAGCAAAAAGTCGTACTAATTTAGTTCATTGAAACATTACAAAAACATAGAATCCAGTTTGCCATAACACATAAACTAAATAATTCAAGACTTTCCTTATATTTAAATATATCATCTCTTAAGGAACTTGCCCGCAAAAAACTATGTCACAATCATCCCATAAAAGGTTCATAGATCGTTCCTGGTTACGTAGTCGTGTATAACGAGCACTCGGTTTATGATAAATTCTGTGTCAGGTATGGAGAAGTTATAACTTAAAATGGAAATAGATGCAACATGTAAATGTACTTATTATTTGCACTCATTGCAATTACTTTTTTTGTGCTTTTTAATGTAGATGTATGCATCAAATTTATTTTTATTGTTTTAGTAGCTGTTGCTAGCGACTTCGCCCGCGTTTTAATAAAAAAAATAGAGCCAATGTTACTCATAGATAAATTACTTTTCTATCGGTGAAAAAAATTTTAAAATCGGCCCATTAGTTTTTGAGTTATTCCTATACATAAAAAAAATACAAATGTTTCTTCTTTATAATATTAGTACAAATAAATATATTTTATTTTTCTCTTAATATACGTTAATAACTATTGAATACGGTTTACATTAAGTAAAAAAAACTTTAGCTATCTTTTAATTAGTTCCTAAATCGTTGACATTTAAGAAAATATCTTAACATTTGTAACATTTAGCATACTACTTAATATAGATGTAATTAGATACGCGAAAGGTATCAATGATGAAAGAGCAGAAGGATAAACTGCTGTTACATGTGTTGGATGTTTTGCGCCCCCCGAAGTGCATACTGTTAGGAATAAAATTAGTACCGTGCTATAGAATTGGCGCAACTCTAGATTATCGGCATAAACGTCACGTCCCTAGCTGACAGCTGTCAATATCACTAGAAGTATGGATAGATTTGGCGCGCATCCTAAGTCTTGACGAGAAGTATTGCTCTGAGTTAAAAGCGACAGTATCAATTAAATAAGTTGTCTAATAATACCTAGATCTTACTTGCCTTACTTCTTTATTACTCATCGACTAATGAGACGACTTATAAGGCATGTACACTTTCCAGTTAATTAAATCCATACTAATATTATTAAGAGGAAAGATTTGTATTTTTGGTTTTTGTATGAATTCGATTCACGTAAAAACTTCTGAGCTGATTTCAATAATTCTTTCACCATTAGAAAGGTAATGTATCGGTGAGTAACATAGGCTGTGTTTTTATTTCATAGAAATCAAGAAAGTTCAAATTGCTATACGTTTTGTAGATTAAGATTAACATTTTTGTAAATACTTTAAAATAATAAAACTGTCATTGAAGCTGGCATACACAAAAACTGTAAAAAAATGAAGCGATTACCATTTAAGAACATATCTTCTCGGTTTTTATTACGTCGGTATTATTGTAATATCGTCCTTGAATTAAAACATGGTTCCATTATTGAACATAATGTATCCAGAAATACTGCCATTGACATACTTGTCAAGTGCATTGTGTAAGGATATATGTATGTATGTATGTCGCGTGCATGAGAATCGTTAATACCCACATATATTAAATAAACTTATTCTAATTGTGTTGCATTTTACAGTAGTTTATATATAGTACGTCTATTTCATTACAAAAGTATAACTACTATTATTAGAAATGGAATGTCTAAAATCTCTAATCACAATGTGGAGTAAAATCAATTGTGACGTTCTTGTAACACAAAATACTCTCTCCAGTCCTTTGATCCGTTAAGTTCCTCACCTTAGAAACACCTGTATTGAATTAAATTTTTGTAATGAACCACCACACTAACTTAATTTGCTAATATGCTAAGTTACGCGTATTTTATGCAAACGCACTTATTATCCTTCATACAATTGCCTATCTTAAATACCTCTATCTGATACTACTAGTTTACGAGGCCTACATACCCCTTTAATGTTATTGTTTGTTACAAAATTATTTGAAATAGCTTTAGAAATGCCAGCCTCTTCGTGTTCTTTGAACTTTGCCGCGTGCAGATGATTTCATGTACCCTCAAATACAACTAAATGTTAACTAAGGATATGGTCGTTATTTCATATTATTATTGGTTTTCATTGTTAAGATACTGGTATAAATGTATGTGTTAATTTTAACAGTGGTAGAGCCCGCTTTAGCATCTTCGCACGAATGGGCCGGTTCGCCCGGTGTAATACCACGACCACACAGAAAATAGGCGCGAAGTGGAGGCAGTGCGTCTGATGAGTGTGGTGCCGAAAGCCTAATTTTAGTCCCTTTCCCATTCCACTCTTTTCTTAAGAGGAAAGGGTGGTAAGGAAAAGTGGATTTGACGGTGGAGGAGACGAATAGGAAGGGAAAATGTCCTCTTTATGTGCGTGTCCTCCTTCAATTAAGGGTAGGCAACGCATCTGCAATTGCGGATGTTTATGGGCAGCGGTCGCTTTCCATATCGGTGGATTCAGGTGGCCACTTGCTCGTTTGCCGCCTTATATTATAAAAAAAACTGTTAGTAATTAAATCAAAGTTTTTGTAATAATTTTCTATATTTTTACAGATTCATCTCAAAATAGTAGTTTAAAACGGAGCAACATCAACCATGAAATACTCCATAAGGTTGCAGGTACGTAAATTTTTATTCCTTCCTCGATTATGCTCTTATAAGATCTACAAAAGAATTAATTGATAAATTACCCCGAACTTGCATTTAGCTTACCACACACCACTTTAACACAATAAATTAAGCAAAAGCAATTTAAACGGTTAGATAAGTTTATAAAATCATCAAGATTCACTGATAACGGTTGAAGGTGCATTAAAAGTGAAGCGAAATTTTAAGAAGGTTAACAAAGTCTATGTGCTAATTTTAAATAAAAACAATGGTGACTTGTAACATTAGTATTTGTGCAATTAACATGCCGTGGACTTCTTTGTAATTTTTTTTTATTTACCTTCGTTCTTATAAGTTTCCTAACAATTTGCAAAACTAGATTTATAAAGACTAATCAGATAAAACGTCCAGTATTTGGTCATATTTACATTAATTATATTGTCAGTGGAGTGTTGGTAATTAAGAGAACAGTCACACAATTCTAATGAAGTAATTTAAACGTACGTAATTATTATACTAAAAATTAATTTAATAGTAATCTAGGTCTTACTCATTAAAATTGATCATTTGAACACTTAAGTTTAGATGACCAATTTTAATGAACTATAATAAGTATAAATAATTATTAATATATAAATTGAATTTATTAAAATAATTTGTGAATTCAATAAGTAAGTTAATTGAGAAATTCATTAAAATGAATCATCTGAACTATCGAGTTCAGATGATCAATTTTAATGAGTTTATTTCAAAAAAAATCAAAACAAAAAACCTAATAAGTTCAACAGTTTTCTCCATCTTACATGAATTACCTTAAAAGTCGTAGTAATCCAACGAAGACATCACATAAACAAACATGAACGTATTGAAATCCACACGGATGTTGTTAGGACACGGCGCTGTGTAATATCAGTCTAAAAAAACTATAATTGTAACATTTGTATAGCTCGAGGTGATTAATAATTTTCCATTGCCCGCAATACGTTACGCTTCGATCGTTCTTCACATTTATACATATACGCATGAACGCATGTTGCTGGTTAGTTCTATTAATATGAACCTTTTAGCGTCAATCTAACAAATTTACAATTTAAAACGTTAAACTGGGTTATTTTATAACCTAAAACTCTGATAAAGAAGCGGTTTTCTTCATTTGTCATACAATACAACTCTTGTACTCTATGTACGTAACTACAGAACGGCTCCATTAAACCTGTAGATCTGAAGAAAATTTTGTATTGGGATAGATCACCGTCTTCATTACCGCATCATTTTATTTTTTAATCCCGCGTGGACAACGTTGGGAGGCAGCTGATGGCAACTTTACCCTGCTGTCAGTTTGGTAGTAATTTAGGTTTCCATGTTTTTTTTTGCGTGGGAAAGAATGACTAGTATAGTTGGAATCACTTCAAGGTTTCAAAATGAAGATTTCTGATCTTGATTGAATTTTAATGAATTAATTTGCAATCACTCAACTCGACGAAGGCTCTATTTTGCTGCAGATAATCTTGTTTCTCACCCACTCAATAAACTGACGTAATACTGTCTCTCGTAAAAAAAAAAATATTTGTTTGTTGATTTAAATTTGTATGCTTATCGCCATGGAACATTCGTGATTATTGTCTTCTATAATCAGTGCAATTTTAGAGTTAACCTTAATACCTTTATGGTAAACATTGATTTCATCTTTTTATTTTGTATTGTATTGATGAATGGCAAAAGAACTAAACTAATAAATTTGTAGACCTAATTCTATTTATGTTTTTGTACACTACATTCTGTACTATAATTAGATTCCAGTGTAAATACACTTATACAAATACACATTATAAAATTATAATCTTTATTTGAGATGTAAAATTCAACTGCTTCTCACAGTTGCTGACATGCTTAGTGTACGCGAGCTGCGTGCATGGTATCATGATAAAGTACGGCACGAAAGGGGGGCCGATAGAGCCTCCAACGCCGGAACCGACACCCGCCCCGCAGCCCTACAGGATACCAGCACCAGTATGGGAAGATCGTAGTGACGACTCACCTGATCCCAACGCCACTTGGTAAGATAGCTAGCAAGTCATTATCTAATATTACGTATACTTTATTAGTTGCTATTATAGTAAATATAAGCTAAGATCTTCTAGACATACCTATTATAATGCATCTACAGGCATTAACAGGGTGTTGCTTATAACCTTTCCTACGAATTGTCGCAAATATCCCCAGCTTCAGTATGTTCCTGTTACTTTGACTAGATCCTCTAGTAGAAAATTTAGTATTCGAGGTCGGTATATTGTTTGGTTGCTGTCTAGTTTTATTTGTGATATTTAATATTAGGGGCAAATTAGAGGTAATTATTTCCATTGTTAATTTGATAAGGATTGGGAGAGACCTTAATTGAATGCAACAGTAATTGACGATAACAAGGCATCATTTAATTCACATGCATTGCAATTCAATTGCATACATTATAGTATCGAATTACTTTTTAAATGATCAATTTCTTACAGGCGACCTCCATTCTTCAGACCACAGCCGAGATACACTGAAGTTATCTACAAGGTTCCTTCGCAGACTGTTAACAGCGCTCAAAGCTTTGTCAATTCGTATCTACCAAATCAACCACTTAAAGCTGAAACTGTTAGGAATTATTTCACACCGGCGCAAATACTTACTTCCCAAAATTTACCCGGAGTTGGCATCAGATATTTCATACCCGCATATCATCACAACCAACATGTTAAAACGCATAAGAAACAAGATGATGCGAAACACAATGATATCGAAACAAATGAAATCGATGATTCTTACGACGATGACGCTCCTAGTGATGTACAATGGAAATTTGAGAAGAATGCAGCGAAAAGCAGTCAACAAACTAGTTCAGAAGTAAGTGTTACAGTAATGTAAACAAAAGAATTAAAACTAAAGATAACTACAGTATTCAGTTAATTTTGGGTAAATTTAAAAACAAAAGATCATGTATAACCATAACAGACGTTTTTAAGAGATAAATGGTGGGCTATTTTTTATCCACTCGAACAAATAATTTGCCGGCCCGATGTCGCGGGCGAAAGCTAGTTTCTCATATATTACAAATATATTTACCAATTATGTCTCAACTGCAAACTATTAGTGTTTTTAATGATATGGGTGGACTCGATTAATTTTCTTTTGTACAGTATAGAATAGTAAATTCTCTTTTTGTTATACTGTTGCTTAACATATTTTACAATTAAAAACACAAAAATAAGCAAACTAAGGCACTGGTTAAATATTCTGCTGTCTGTATCGTTTTTATACATATACCTTTCGCCCGCAACTTCGGCCTCCTGGAATTGAAGATAAGTAAGTAGCCTTAGGTCTTCTTCAAGACTATTCTCTACATCTACGCCAAATTTCATCGATATCCCTCCAGCCTAGAAACCTTATCAAACAACTAACTTCTATATTTACAGTATTAGTAAGATGGAATCGGGAATACCATGTTTTTATATGACCTTTTTTGTTGCAGGAATTCATAGTAAAGCAAATAAGGTAATGTTTGTCTATATTTTTTTTTACAGGGCACAGCTCGACCCGTTTACCGCTGGCCAGTGTACGTACAACCCAGACATTAACGACGTTCAAAAGTTATTTAATTATTAAAATTGTCAGTGGTCAAGTTACTATAAAGCCATTAGACATAAATGTTAAAGATGAAGACAGTAACAAAATCCGCTAAGATTAGGCAAAGTGTACGGTACAGAATTATTATTGTGATTTTAATATAGACAAGTAGAATAAGTAAAAAGTGCCAGAATTTTTAAATACAATCAATTGTCAATTGAAGCACTTGAAGATTATCAATGATTTTTTTTATATATCTTAGTACTATAAATAGTTTGTTGCGATAATTGTGCCAATAGTGACACATACAAGCTGAAGTACGATTCGCGTGATTGAGTTGAAGTAAAGGGCTACGTGGATATTAATTACATAGTCATGCAATCGACTGACACAAGAAGACATCTCGAGCGTGTCGGGACACCTGCTATGATCCTAACCTTGATACAACACGACCACTTACCCAATTAAATAATTTATCAATCTATAAATAAATTTAAAGTAAAAGAAAATAACAAATGTAACAATAAAAAACAACTTGACTTAAATTTTGTAACCTATGTGTAATTATAATTAGGATTTTTTACAATACAAGATTTTAGAATTTCATGACTCCTTTCCAAACTAAAATTGCAACAATTTTTCCTTAAATAGTTTAAACTTTTGTGAGTTATTATTATAACTAAATCTTTAACTGCTAGTACTCAAGTCTATTTTTCCGGTGGCGGCACCGACTAATTTCGGACTCATCGGGGGTCCATCTATTTCTTGTTTTTTGGGATTAAATACTAGGCTGTATTACACAAAAAAATACAAGACCCTTTAATAGACCCTCTGTTGAGATTGTAGACGTCAGCCTGGTCATATATTTTACCATAAATATATATCAATACCGCATTTGGTATAAGTACTTTGTTATATATTGATTGAGATGCATTGCACAAGCCGACGCATAATAAAGTTTTTAATAATCATGATTTTATAGTATAAAAGAGTTGACGAAAGTCCAAGCTAAGATGAATTTGGAACACTGTCTTATTTTTTTATCGTAAGGATCTAAGTATGCAGTTGATTTTATTTTATATTTTTTTTGTTAGAAACGCTTTTGCTTTTGATCATATGGCTCTGTTTGAAAAAATCAGGCAAACAAAATGATGAATTGAGGTGATTTTTAATTTTTAAAACTTTTATAATGTTTTTTAATTCTACATTTATTCGGTTGCTTTTATTTATATATTTTAAATATTCTACTTTTCTTAACACCATAGCAATTTGTTACGGTAAGGTATCAGTATTCAGATGTATGTTTTTTTATAGTATTGCCGTTATATAATATCTATTGTTCCATTCCTTTGTGTACCTGAAAGTTTTGTTATGTCATTAGATGCATCATCATTTTGTCGTTTGCTTAAACTAACGACAAGGGAATGCTTTGTAGAAATAGATTAAGAGAAACGACTCCTATTTATAAATCTAAACGGAACTCTTTTGGAGAATCTCTTTTGGAGAATCTCTTTTGTTAAAATCATAGCTATTCTGACGTAACGAAGTTGCAATTTTCGATTTTTTACTATCTTAGTGATTCGTCTTTAAAATGTGTTAATGACAGAAGAATGATTGTTTGTAGTTTTTTCTTTCTATTTGTAGACTAATATAGTTTTTAATTGTAATTTTTGTAAATATGTAAAATAAACGATTGATATATTATCTGTTTTTTATTTAACAGTTCAAGATATAATAAAAAAATAATATAAATAAAATATTTTCTATTAACTTTAGCTTTAATGTCATAGTTCGACTCCATAATAATATATAAGCTATACTTTTGTATAATATATATTGGTTACATCAAAACATCGCCGCATGCGATGTTCGAGACAATCGTCACGAAACACGATGCCTCGATTCCCATCGGATGAAATTTACAAGCCCCGAGATAACACGACTGTTTGAAAGCATGCTGTTGTACCTTCACTATCACATAAAATTTAAACAGGAACTAAGAAAGATTACATCTTAATTGGTGGCAATTCTTTAACCAACGCTATGACTCGTTAAATTCAATTTCCTTACATATTATTAACATTTAGTCATACAATTAAAAAGTTTGGGAAGTCTAATAGGTTCTATTATTTACGAGGTCATAATTACGAGTACATGAATAGAATTAAAGAAGTAATCGAAAACCTTTCTTGTACTGGAAGAGAAGAGTAATCCTGCAGAAAAGGAGATGAACAATAAAGGATTATACCATACAATTTGGATAACAAGAGAGAGAGACCTTAATGGTCTCATATGTGTTTGTAGTATTTCGTTCCATCTAATGCTTTATAACCCCGTTACCGTAACGAGCGCACGCAGCGCCGTGACTGTCATTACGAATCCGTACCATTGCTTATTTATTTATGCCTTACGCAAGCGGATTCAATTTACGATTTTTATTTAACAAATATATTCACAATCAAAAAGTTTTTACAAGAAAAGGGCAAAAAATCACTGGGTATACTGAGGTAATGATATCGTTCATACCCATTGGCATCGGCAATAAAGGTACTGATGATGCTTTTGACGACAAAGTACGCTCACTTCTTCAATTTAAAAAATATTCTATATCCTGCCCACCGAGGATAGGAAAAATTTCCTTGACCTACGCAGCACTGGTGTTTATCACCAGCTTAACCTTATAATTCATATTTATTCCGTGCCAAAGTTCGTACAATGTGCCTTCAGTATAAATATTCTTATATAAAAACGAACTGTTGCCCGCGACTTCGTCCGCGTGGTATTAGAAAACATACGAACTATATAAATTACGAAAAGCTACGTATCCCTCGGGAACCGGACATTTCTCGGGGATGAAGCTTATCCCATGTGTACTCCAGACTTTGTTTTATATCTGTGCCAAATTTCAATAAGATATGTTGAACCGTTGCAGAATGATCGAGTAAACATTAAAAAACTAAATTAATGAATCCCACGGGAACTGTAACTAATCCAGGGATAAAAAGTAGCCTATGTGTTCTCTCAGACTATGCTCTAAACCTGTGCCAAATTTCATGAAGATCCGTTCAGCCGTTTAGGCTACAAACGCTAACAAACATCCATCCATCCATCCATCTAAACTTTCGCATTTATAATATTAATAATAAGTAAGAAATAAGATTAAGCAAGCTGCTTACAAAAGCTTCGACTACAAAGTCAAAAGTGATTGAGGTCAGTAAACTTTGCAATTGCTCTGCACTCTCAAACTCTAATGACTTCAATTATGATAAATACTTTTTAGTTCACAGCCCATTATTAATTCATTAACAAGTTAGAAAATCACAATAAAAATTAATATTAAATTAACTTTTGCTTAAATAACATAAAAATGAATGATATATTTCAAAGTCCATTCATAACTTTGTCAATAACGTTTCTTGAAGCTTTTTTAATAGGTCGATATTTCAAAACAGTAAGCAATAGCAATTTATTATTCAATTACTACAATTTATGACGTATTCATAGTATACGATTTGCGGCTCCTTTAAAATGATTTAAAACCTTCAACAATATAAACAAACCAAATAAAATAGTATTAGCGAGTGTTTTTGATGAATAGAACGTAATTGTTATAAATATTACTTCCACGAGGTCTATTTAAAAGCGTGCGCACACCTGAAACTAAATTATCGCACGACTGTTTAGTCTCGCTTTGATTCCTTATATGGAGGTGCGCACAGTACTCGGATTTTAGTTTTTTTTTAATAATAACGTTGAAAACGAGCAAGCGGCTACCTGAGTCCATTGAAATGGAAAGCGACCGTTGCACATAAACATCCGCAATTGCAGATGCGTTGCCTATCCTTAATTGACGGAGAAGGAGACGCACATAAAGAGGACATTTCCCCTTCCAATGCGTCTCCTCCACTGTCAATTCCACTTTTCCTTCCCATCCTATCCTTTTAAGAAAAGGGTTTTTTTTTAATAACATAAGGTGACAAACGAGCAAGCGGCCACCTGAAATCGCTAAAATGGCGAAGCGACCGCTGCCCAAAGACATCTGCAATTGCAGATAAGTTGCCGAACCTTAATTGACGAATGAGAAGATGCAATAAAGAGGACATATGCCCTTCCTATGCGTCTCCTCCACTGTCAATTCCACTTTTCCTTTCATAGGACGGAAACAAAAGAGTGGAAAGGGAAAGGAACTAAAATTAAGCTTCCGACACCACTATTCAGACGAAACGCGGAATTGCTTCCACTCCTCGTCCATTTTCTATGTGGTCGTGGTATTACACGAAGCCGAACCATTCGTGCGAAGATGTTAAAGCGGGCTCTACCACTGATAATATAAGTTCTGCAACTTAACAGTTGAATAACCTACGAAATAATCGACAATCGGACAACAATGTGCGATAGCTTAGTCGAAGATGTGTTCTCGGTCGAATACGATTTTTAATTCGAGGTCAAAGTCATAATATTATTTTCCAATCAATAACTGAAATTCCAATTTATTATTGCCAGAATATCTGAGGTAAGACTATTACAATGGTAAAAGACCTATTGAATTTATCCACGATGAAATAATAGCAAACGAAATTATTAATAATTCATACAAAATTAATAAAAAAACTCAATTTACTCATCATTAATAATTCAAAGTGCATTGTTAAGCAAAGTGAGCTTATTATAATCTTTTTATCCATTGTATGCAATCGTGGTTGACTAATTTCTCACGCGCATTGTATAATTACACTTTTCTAGTTCATTAACCTATTTCTAACATATTTGTCAAGAATTATTTAATAAAAATGTCTTACAGAAATACTTAATGTGTTATTTCCTTATTCATAAACTTTTGGGTGATCTTCGATCATTAGTCTCATATACATTACGTTCTGTAATATACTAGCTTTCGCTCGCGACTCCGTCCGCGTGGAATTAAAAAACAAACAAAAGTGAGTAGCCTATGCGTTCTTTCAGACTATCCTCTACAACTATACTAAATTTCATCGAGATCTGTTCAGCCGTTTAGGCTACAAACTCTAACAAACATCCATCCATCTAAACTTTGGCATTTATAATACTAGTAAGATTACATAAAAATAATAAAAAACATAGCCTATGCTACTCACTGATAACGTAGCTATGTAATGATGAAAGTTTTTTTGAAATCGCCCCAGTAGTTTTAGAGTTATTTCAATACATACAAAAATACAAATCTTTTCTCTTTATAACGTTAGTATAGATAGTATAGACAGTTTTAAGTATAATAAAACAAACAGTCTTACATTTTAAAATCAAACACTAATAAATAAAATAATGTATCGTTCATTCATAATTCATTTGTACGTCGCAACCAACTTTAATGATAGTCGGTGTTACAAACGATTAAAATTTCAATTTCACTTTTACGTTGGTTCACATTGAAAGTGCGAGTGACCATGACCTACCTCACTTTTGACGACGGATGACGACTACTTTCGCGAAAGCAACATTTCGACTGTGCAGCGGTACCGAATCACTTTTACTCTTTTTTATTTGTAAAGATGAGAAACAAATGAAGAAGTTGCGACGACGATTCGAGTTCAAAGTAGTCTTTTAAATTGTCTTCCCTTTAGTTGTGTTTTAAAAATTGCATAATCATGACGTCATAAACGTCTTAAAATAATTACAACGAAATGACGAATGGCTACCATAATCACGAAAAACGTTAGCGGATTTATCGTTAACACGCGTCGACAATAGAAAGAGCACAAGGCCCGTCACTGTCCGACTTGTAATTGCATAACTAGACGACAAACATAAAGGGAATGATGTACCGTGACACAATAAAGCAACGTGTCCGCAACATTACTGAACAGAATAGACCGGATTAGTTGTCAATAAGCAAGCCAAATGTTCGTTTCTATTTTCTATTGAAACAAATTTTACCATAGAAATACTCGACTAAAATTAGATGCGACAAATGAAAATATCTAAATTGTATATTGTTGTTTTGGTATGAGTGAGTTTGATTAATTTCAGTGATTTTATTAAATTTTACTGCGATTTATTCCACGGCACTTTTAAATCTAGTTCTCATGATTATCAGAAAGAACTAAGGATTAATTTGTATTAAAATAAAAAAAAATATCTTGTTTGTATGAATATAAAAATATATTATTTTACGATTAAATATTACGATCAGTTGAAATTATAATTTTTCTCATCATATAAATAATGACATTAAGATTTAATTATTATCGTATTTTATCGAGAATATCAATTTGCTTTAACCTAGTTTCGTGAAGCGCCAGAAAATCAGACGCAATACGCCGTCCGTTTTCGTTAAATTGTAGTCACATTAAATATACGATGCGTACAGATTGATGCGTTCGCTCTGTTCCAAGTAGAACCGGTATCGGCCGCGGTTAGCCTGTAATTATGTTATTTATAGCTCATTGAATCCAGCGTGAAGCAGATCTATTCAGACACATATTTTTTTAACATTTAATTTTATTACAGGGCCATTTACAAGCGGCATGCAAAAGGTTAAGTATCCATTAATCTTTTAACTATAGCTATTTGATATTTTTAAAATAATTTCGTATTTATTAATTAGTTAAAAGTAATATAATCAATGAATTAATTGCTATATTTAAAAGGAT